CCATGGGCCACAGCACTTTTGCCTCCATCGAAAAGAAGCCGCCACATCCGGCAGTCAATCCTGCGCCATGCGGGTCAGCAGCCGAGTACCTTAGCTACTAAACCACTACGGCGTGGCCCCTAGCCACTGTTTCACCAAAGTGGGCATTTGCGAAATGGGTGCCCATTTCGCACACTTTGAAGCTCGTGTTTTTCATGCGCCTTTGTTTTGTTGGGCACTCCTAAACACACAGTGATTCGTTTGCGCACTTGTACCGTTTAAAGCAGCACAGACGGTGAGTGATGCAGTGATGGCTGAGTTTGATGAGAACTGGGGTAACGACCATTCAGACCAGTGTTTCACTCTTGCAGGTACGCTACCCATTGCTGCTACTCACCTGTTCCTGTGGTTCATGGGAACGATGTTGATCTGCGTTTCATCGTTTCTATACGTACCGCTGGCAACACAGCCGACGACACAGCCCTCTTCAAGCGGCTCGATCTGATGGGTGTGCTCATCCGGCGCCTTGAGACCGTCGTCTTCCTGGCGGGCATGTCACTGTTCATCGTCTCATTCTGCGGCTGCGTAGGTGCGCTGCGGGAGAACAGTTTCCTGCTCAAGCTCTACTCTCTCGCCCTCACTGTGCTCATCGTAATCAACATGCTGCTCGGGCTTGTCGTATTATTTATGCCCGGTACGTGACTCCAGTTTTATTAGGGTCTGGGGAATAACAGCAACCGCAGCTACCTTTATTAGTGAAAATAAAGAAAGCTAGTCAATCTGTTGACGCTCTCGTACGCCGGAAAAGTTAAACACTTAGAAATGTTTCTGCAATGGTGTAATACACATTTGCCCCAGAAACAATAGGAACACTTGAAAAGTTTGCTTGATAAAAGTTGCACCCCGACACTCGCAGAAAATTCTAGAGTATGCAAGAAACGTAATTCATGTGCTTGAACAAATTTAAAGCAGAACAAGACAATGACCTCTCATGGAGCACTTGTACAGCTTTTTTTACTCATTTACAAGCTCCAGCATGTCCAAGTTACCTAATATTGTGACGCTGCTATTTGAGCACGCGAGTTATGCTCCCATTTTCGCCGTTGCAGATGTTGCAAAAGAACTTACTTGCGTGAAACTCTTTATGCAATATAAAAAGGGTTTATCATCAAAAGTAAATATATAACAAGGTACGGCGATCAAACGCATTGTTGTAATCAATGAACAAAAAATGGCAGCTTCCGAAACATAGATTAAAGCGTTGCCCCCCAGCAACATTTTATTATACATAGGTTGGTACACGTCAAAGCCGTTTTCATAGGCAAAATTTAGCTGATTGTTGTGACACAGCCAGGAATGTTTTTTTCTGCATTGTAATTAAAGATGTTGCTAACAAGATGTCTGTGAATGTTTCAATTCGAGTTTCTACTTTGTGATTATCTTGGTAGTGATCACCACGATCGGACTCGTACGCACAGTGGGCTGCTACAATAGTGACTAAACGAAAATGTATCATCACTGGCTCTTGATCAAGCTACGCAATCGAAGCTCGTTTCTGAAGCGTGAATACACGATACCAATTGAAAAGTTTTGAAGCTGAATCGATGATATGATGAATCAAAATGCAACAAGACGAAGTAATGTTTGCCTGGGCGCTATTCAAGTTACATTCAGTGAGATCGCAATGTTGTGAGAAAAGCTCATTAGTATTGTTTTCACCTACGCCACACGCACATCGAAACTTCAGTGGTGGAATGACTATTCGATTAAACAGCTCGAACGCTTTACTCTGGTGTTTGACTATCGCAAATTCCACAGATCTTAAGTACCTTGGGAATCGACATTATGCGAAGCATGCGGAGTGGAGGTGACTTCCTTGTAACCATTTATTGAGCGAGACGTTATGCGATGACGCTAATATATTTACGAATGTTGCATGCACAGACATGTTCTCACTATCCAATGTTTATATCACTAGTTTGCACTTGCCCAACAATTCCGACAGAATCATAACTACTGGCAACAGCAGAACCAATACACTGTCATAAAGCTCTTGTGCTTGTGAGGATGGTAGCACTGGACACTGCTACGTTAATCAGCTTCAGCCGATGACGCCCAACGCTGGCGTTAGCCTAACCTGACGGCTGTATGATAAGAGTACATAATTAAAGTACTTTATAAAATAGCATAGCTCTTACTGCAACCACCGTCGACGTATCGCAAACATTACGGTCAATTTGAAAAGTATTTACGAGACGTTGCATGACTCTGTGTTAGAACACCTGAATGCCACGCAGAATGCATGGTTTCGATCGCTGCTGAGGCCCTCACATGATTTCCTTGCATTCGACTGGTCTGCATTTGCTAGGCCAACGCTTGTTGTCAACATTTGCTGGGTCAACCTTTTTTAACGCTTACGCGTTGAAACCTTCGATGTGTGCTCTCGTAGTTACTGAGTCGATACTTAGTGTCAATCACCTGTTGCACATACCCCCTACTAGTGGCACATAAACGCTCGCGGGTTTTGTGACTCTACTTTGTGGGAAGTGTTTGACCAAGTACGTAACGGGGTCGTGTACCTCCCCTCTTAATCATTCACCTCTTGACGAGTGTGTCACATTCCTCAAATGATCTTACCCTCCCATACTAATTTTGGTTCACGCCAAGTTAAGAGGGTGACCACGAGAGCACCCAAACGTTTAGTTAGCAAAGAAATGCTTCGCGTTTAATAGATAGATAGATAGATAGATAGATAGATAGATAGATAGATAGATAGATAGATAGATAGATAGATAGATAGATAGATAGATAGATAATAGATAGATAGATAGATAGATAGACAGACAGACAGACAGACAGAAAGACAGACAGACAGACAGACAGACAGACAGACAGACAGATAGATAGATAGATAGATAGATAGATAGATAGATAGATAGATAGATAGATAGATAGATAGATAGATAGATAGATAGGTAGATAGATAGATAGATAGATAGATAGATAGATAGATAGATAGATAGATAGATAGATAGATAGATAGACACAGACACAGACACAGACAGACAGACAGAGAGAAAGACGCCTGAAGTGCTTCCTGTACGCAAACAAATGCTTCGCATTCAATAGGTATCACCCACCTTAGTAAGGTAGCCATTTATGTGTAATGAAAAATTGGGGCCTTTAAGCTTCGCCTTTAAATTTTGAAACGGTAGCGATAACCTGTCTTTAGTGCGTGCCTAAAACACTTAGTGCATAAATTCCAATCGAACTTGCTATGCACCTAGAAGGTGGTTTGAAGGAAATAGACGCGGTAACGTCAGTGCGTTCTGTAGTAGATGACCAGCCGGGCTTTCAACCATAGAGTCTTTATGATAATCACAATTGGTGATGCCTGATGGCAATGCTCGCTTGTACTTCGCATTATTATTGCAATATTTTATGTTGAATTGTGAAGCATCTGTACAGGACGCACGTGTTGTAAACTGTGAACTTCAGTGTATTTCCTAGCAAAGGAAGTTATTTTCACTGTTTTTAAATGCACACACCTGGCTGTGTGGTAGAACATGTGCTTGTCAAGACCTGGGTTCAATCAAGACTTCCACCCAGACTGTTTTTTTTTTCATTTATTTATTGCTGCTCTTTTTTGTCTTTTCGGTAACCCGCAAGACGATGATTTTGCGCTCACAACGAACAACGCCGACACCGGATTTTCTGCGAAACAAGCACTTTAACGCTATCCTGTTCAAATACCGCAGTGCACTCGGTCAGCTATCGCCACTGAAAGATTATACTGGCCGGAATTATTTGGATATGTGGCTACAGTTTATGTACTTTTAAAAAAACACACACGACAGGACAACAAAATTAGGATTGAGACTGCCTTGTCACGCATGAAATAGCTTCACTAGCTTCTTTTCGCCAGAAAAGGAGAACGCAGAAAGACTAGTACCGCAGTAAATAGCAAAATGAAAATAATTACAGAGTCATCACGAACTTCCCACACCTGTCTCTCCCTTGCCCCCACATTTACGGTGGTAAACACGAAAAGTAAATTGCTTTAATGCAATATAAGTGAACCACTAAACTTGTGCATTGAGACTTTTCACATTATTATAAATCACGTCATAAAGCAGATCAGCGCCTCATGCTTGCTGAATAGTGAGGAGAGGTGGGGGGGGGGCGGACAGGCGGCTTATTTGCTCCACTTGTGCGCATGCATATGCTGACACCGACGCTTACCACCTCTATATTTAAGAGCTGCTCCACTTCTTGTGCTTTCTGCTGCCATGTTATACCTGCGAACGTTTTAAAGGCATTGGCCGACCTAACTTTCTCGCTCCCCTTCGTGCGTTTGCCTCATCTGGCAATAAAGTCAGTTACCGGGAATTTATGAGCATGCGGTTATCCTGCTCACGCGCTACGTGACCAGCCCACGTTCATTCCGTTATGTTGATTTCGGCTATGAAATGTTTAGGTCCATTTCGGTCCCTGACCCACTCTGTTCTTTTCTTGTCTCTTTTGTTACGCTTGTGATTTTATTTTCCACCACTCGCTACGCAATCCTCAATTTAATCTGAACTCTCTTTATAAGCCTCCAGGTTTCCGCTCCGTAAGTAAGTACCGGCAGGATACAGCTGGTATATACATTCCTCGTGAGGGTTACTGGCAGATTATGATTCATAATATAAGAATGATTGCCGAATGTGATTCACGCCATCCTTATTCTTTGAGTTATTTTACTCTTATGGTTCGACTCTATGGTTACTACCTGTCTTGAGAAGACGTATTCCTTTCCAATGTCCAGTATCTCTCCACTTAGCGCAAAGTCCTGCTCTCTGCCGAGGCTCTTGCACATTACTTTCGTTTTGCGCATATTCATTTTCAGGCGAACTATTATGGCTTCCGTGTCCAGTTCGATAATCAAGAAATGTAATTCGTCCCCTAAGTTACTCATCAAGCTAATATTATCAGCGAATCGTAAACTTCTAAGATACGCTTTATTAACTCTTATCTCTAACTCCTCAGAATCTAGAACCCTGCAAACCTACTTAAACACGCGATGAATAGCATTGGAGAGATCGTGCCCCCCCTTGCCTTGCACCTTTCCCTATTGGGATTCTGTCACTTTCTTTATATAGAAATATGATGGCTGTGGATCCACTGTAGATTTCTTCCGGTATGTTTACGTGGGGTTCGTCGATGTCCTGATAATCTGGCGGCTGCATTACTGCTGATGTCTCGAATGATTCAAACGCCTTCTCGTAATCTATGAAAGCTATGTGCAAGAGTTGGTCGTATTCAACGCATTTGTCTGTACCTGATTTACAGTATTATTGTTGTCAACAATGGAGTAGCGTGTGAAAACTCCGGTTTTATTTTTAGGTTTATTGAACCCTAATATGCTGCATTATTTCAATTAGCTAATATTTTTGTAAGTACTTTGTAGAGAGTGAACAGTGGGCTGATCAACCTGTATTTTGACGTCTCCTTGATGTTTACTTTCTTATTATTTAAAATAATATCGGGCGTTCATCCAAGGTTCTGATAACCTTCTCTTTGAGTGACACTTTGTATAAGTGGTACAAATTTGTACTAACACACAGAGTATCCTTGTTGCAGCTTTTACTCTCACTTGAATCTCTAAGCATATGTGCGTATACAACGCCACACAAGTGCCACCACTGATCGAAAAGTACTACCAGTTAGCCTAATAAACGCCGTAAAAGAAATGAAAGCCAAAACGAGAGAAATCCTAAACAGCAAACTGTGAGGCTTAGTCATTGCCGAACGACCAGAGCTCTTCGCTTGCATGACTGTATAGCACTCGACTCTGCAAATTATCGCACAGTATATGCAATCGTTTCAATGTTAGGTGAGCGAATGCTTCATCGCTCTTCGCGGTAAAGGTTCTTTAAAAATAAGTCTAAGAATGCAAAGCATGTCCTGTCAGTAACACTTGGCCGGCGTCTTGATACTCCTGGACAACTGTAAGACCGGTATGTGTTTGCTCTCTCTGCAGGAAGCGTAAAGAAGGTGATCAAGGACTCGCTGTCTGAGTCACTGGTCATCCACTACCGCGACACTATGGACACGGAAAGCGTCGTAGACGCCCTGCAGCGCCAGTTGCGTTGCTGCGGAATGACGACCAAAAGCTTCAGGGACTGGAACAAGAACATGTTAGTACCCAGAGAAAAATTTACTTGCTCGCGAAAAGAGTTCAATTCGTGAAGCCATGCATAATGGAATCTGGACATTATCACCGAAGTAGCCTGTTAAGGAAAGAGATGCCCGCCACGTGTAGGTGAGGATGCCAGGGCAGCAGCAGACAACACAATGACATAGCCAAGACTCGTTCGTGAGACAAGCTGTGCAATATTGTATTGGCGTTATCACACAACATGCCTGACAAATCAGTTACGGCATGGAAAATTCTCAGCTATTAAGGAAAAGCCTTGTTACTACTGGGATCTTCCTCTCCTTTCGTAACTATGGTTTCGCTATTAGTGACATGGGACGAGGGGGAGCTTCAAGGCCTTGACACGCCACCTGCAGGTTATGCCTTCACTTGTCGTGACTTTCGGGGAGTCATTCCAAACATACTAGCTGCTTTTTCCGGTTGATGTTTGTGCGCCGCCAGCAAGGAACAGCACCTCATTGAACGTTTTGGTAACATCGCGGTGGCGTAGTTTACTTCCAAAATAAGTTGACGCACGAAACCGCTCGCTGCGCCATTTGGAAGAAAACAAAGCGATGAAAAGCGCTAGCTAGCAACTTTTCCAGGTGTAAGAGTTTCTTTCCCTCCAAGTGCAGATAATATTTGCCTCATATATATATATATATAAATATATAAATATATAAATATATGACTAAATGGTTAGTGAAATTACTGTACATAATTAAAGTCTGATAAACATTATTAAATCAATTTTCAATACAGCTACTTCAACTGCAGCCTGATGAATCCGAGCCACGAACGTTGCTCGGTGCCATACTCGTGCTGCAAGCCCACCAACCTGGAGTCTGTGAGCCTCAACTGCGGCCGCAATGTGCTCAACATGAGCGACTACGACGCCTGGTTTATCGTTAACATCGGCAATTGCCCGGACGCCCTGCATCGCTACGTCAAAGAGCACGTGATGATCATCGGTGGATGTTGTCTCATCGCGGTCATCCTCCTCGCGTTCGTCGACATGATCACCAACGCGGTGATCGACGAGATCGACATCATCTGCAAGATATACCAGCGTGTCGAGGCCGCCGAGCAAAACCACTCATAGCTGTACACAGAGGACGCTGCCGCACGCATGGCGGCTGTATAGTTTCGTTAGTTACTCAAGTACGTGGTACTTCACGTCAGCAAAATATAGTTCTTCATTTCTAATTGATCAACCTAATTGTAATGTCTGCTGAATATAATTTATAGTCCATTGAACGCTGATACTTATACTGGACGCTCTTGTTTTTTGTGGGATATTCTTTGAGCTAAGGTGATCACGCTATTTATCGCGTTCTAACTCATCAAAACTTCTTGAGTGAGGTATTTTGTTGTAGAGCAAGGGAATAACAGTTTGAAAACACACCCACGAGATAGACAAAGATACAATTACACTGGTGCTTTTCTCGCAACTTCTAAAATAGTTTATTACTTGAGTCTCTGGGCATAACATACCTCTCACAATGCGGCGAAAAGAAGATGGTTTCGATCAAGATCGGCGGCCGCCTCTATGTCCCGCCACTCCCCAAGGACATGCACCTGTTGCACCTCAGGGGGCGCTGCCCCAACATAGCGAGTGACCTGCAAAAGAAGTGTGACAACAGCGGTGAAGTGGTCTACGCGGAAGGCGTGTGATACCTGGAGGGAAGGCGTGCTCACGTGATCGATCGCAGTTGTGAATCGCATGGACAAATCAATCGCGAGCTTCACGGTGCGTACAGACCACACAGAGGCGTGCGAAGAGGAGGCGATTGCTCTTACACTGGTCGGCGAACCAGAGGCTGCAGTCGTGGTCATTGACTCGCAAATGGCCGTCCATGGCTTCGCGCACGGCGGCACTTCGTGTGGGGAGGCTCGGATACCATGTTATGGCAACAAGGAGGTGGTGAGCTTCGAGGAGCGATGGCCTCGGAACCATCATTCTCGTATCTCAAAACTGAAAATGTGAATGTCTTCCTTTTTGGACCCCACCTGGTATGTTGTGGACCAGCCGGTTGTAGACCCCGGCTGGTTTATGTCATGTTTTGCATGGCCAAGGTGTTTTTTTCTCCCCTTCATTTTCACTTACCTCTTCAACACTCTCACTATAGCATAGTGCACAGAGGTATGCCGTGCCCTGCCAGCATGCCTGCATAGCCTAATGCTTAAGACATTCACCTTTGATCATGACAGCTGAGGTGTAAACCCATCACTTCACGAAAAATTTTTGCCGCCAATAGTTTTTCTGTGTTAAGCTTTTTTCCTGTTTGATGGATTGACTCTTTGTTTTTTAAAGACGATAGTTTGAACATAGACAAACATACTATATAAAGAGTGGCCACTCGGGCCTCTTCGCGGCCCCGCAAGATGGGCTTTGACCAACCACTAGATGGCGCTCTTATGCTCGCTTTCACTTTTCTCTGTCACGGCTAACAATAGCCGCCTCAGGAGGTCAATGAAAACATGTTTGGCAGCAAATTTTTGCAAAGAAGAAACTTTATCGATCGATGCAATTTTCCACATCCGCTTTACAAGGTTTCCCACTCAATACGTTTAATGCTTTACCACAAAAAACAGTAAAGTTTGACTATAAAGTGTTGTTTTCCTACATTTATTTTGCACACAGGGTACATATTCATGTGGTTTAGATGTGCTGTAGATGTATTCCTTTCGTGCATGGATGGGCGTGTAGCCTAGTGGTAAAGACACTCGTTTTCGGAAAATGAGGGCGTGGGTTCAAATCATAGTTTCGAAAAGAAAAAGTTTTGTTATTTTATTTATGCAAAAATACATTGTCGGGTCTGACCAGTCACTCGTGGCGCTGAAAACAGCGCAGTAGCTGGGCCGCAGGGCCCCACGGGAGTGTCCGCTCTATGCGTAAGTAGGTTTCTCTGTGGTTTAAAGATGATAGCCTTTTTTGGGGACCATGAACACAAAAAGTTTGGTCTGTCTGTCTTTAGATTTGCCTGTTTGTCCCACCAATAACGGTTCTGCGTTCTCGAAACGGCACCAGCCAATACCCGAAATGACTGACCCCATCCGCAGCGCACACCAATGTTGCTCAAGCTTCAGCATTCATACTTATACAATTGTCAATTAAAGAAATCAAATATTGTGCATATCTAGGGCACCATAATGACGTACATATATTGTTTGTGTGTCTTTTACTAGAAATAACCTACATAAGTAATTCTAAGAACCGTAGCGTTTATCACGCTGTGCTGACCATGCAACGCTTGCACGAAAGGGCGGGTGTTTCCAACAACGCTTCGCTAAGACGACACAGTGGTGGCACCTACCCGTCGCCTTGCGTTCTACACCTTATCACCTCTGAGACGGGAGTGTGCCTCAGAGCCAAGCGCTTCGTTTTCGAACAAAACTGCGAGATAGCGCTGATGTCATATGTGGGACGTGACTTGATGCGCTCGTTCGCCTCCGCTGCACGCTCTAGGAACATTAACGAAGCTCCTCGAGAATACCATTTACCAATTTGCTTGAGCGCAATATCAAATAAATGTTTTGTTCATTCTCTGCACCTGCACACGCAACACTACCGTCTTTCGACGACATTTGCAGATTAACATGCAGGTACGGGGCCAATTTTTTTCCTTTCTCTTTGTACTTCTGAAATAATCTCGCCCGTCAGAGTTGTTGCAGGCCACATTGAAGAAATTGGCCTACGTATTTTGAGTGTCAAGCAGAAGCTTCACAAGAAAAATAAAAAGAAGATTATGAGAGCATGTTGCGATTCATGGTTATCATAATTTCTGTTCCAAATAATCTGCAAACACGCAAGAACTTCGAGAGACCCAGCGTACCTTATAAAACTCTGTGTTATGCAAAGCATGCGGATGCAAGGTGACTTTGTTTTAATATTATTATTGCACGGAACGTAATAGTATGATGCTAATAATATGTACAATTGTACACACAGTCATATGTTAAACAGGTGCATGTTTTCCAACAGCAAGATGGCCATCAGCAACAGCAGAAACGGTCAGCCGATGTGTAGCGCCTGTGACAGAGAAAAAGGCGCCCCTAGACACTCTTTGATATATGAGCTTCACTAGATGGCGCTTTGCGACAATTGTCTTGAACCCGACGGGACGGGCGTATGATTAGAGTACGTATGTACTGTTCGTAAAATCAGATAGCCTGCACTGCAACAACAATTGACTTTTCACGAGCGTTACGGTGTACATGAAAAGCACTCCCGAAAGCTGGCATGGCTTTTTGATTGAATACTTGATTTCCACGCAAACAATGTGGTTTGAATTCTATAGGGAGTGCAATATTCATTCTAAGCATTGGTTGGTTCAACGCTGCTGAGCACAGCTTTTAGGGACAAAGCTTCTTATAGACAATGAAGTTGGCGCACACCATGCCCCACAGAATCAAAATTGAAACAGAACCCCTGTACAACAAAAACGACAACATATGCGTAAACAATCGACTTTATATGTAATCAACTATACGACCGCACAGCACATGATCAACAGCGCCGTCCGTCAGTTCGTCCGCCCGTTCGTTCACGCATTCATCCTTCTCTCCATCCATCCATGCGTCTTTTTGTGTATCCATGCACACGTCCGTCTGTGCATACATCCACTTGTCCATTCATCCATGCGTCTAACAGCCCATCTGGTGGTCCTTTATACTGGTCGCTGATTTCAACGTAGACATTACTGACCTTAGGCCCTGTAGCTCCATGCACTCGTCTCTCGAATCAAAATGACCAAGTTAGGTTTGCGTCGCTAGTTGGTAGATGTAAACTTTCAATCACCTTCAGTGCATTGTGCTGCAATACAGTTGATTTTAGCCCGACGTGCTGGCTGTATCGCAGAAGTACATATATTTATAAAACTGCATAGCCATCACTGCTTCCTCAATGACACTTCACTAATATTACGGTCTCTTTGAAAAACAATTGCGAGACCTGACATAGCTTTGTGATAAAATACTTGGTTACCACGCAGAATGCTCGAGTTTGATTCCTGTTGGGACCCCGACAATTTTTTATTTCCATTCGTCGGGTCAACGCAACGGATGAAAGGTTTTGCTTAACGCTCACACGGGAAACTTACCCATGTAAGTTATCGCCATGCCTACGCAGAAAATAACTGCCCATCACCTCTGGCACACACCCGCTTGAGCATATGTGCTGCTGTTTGGCAGAGTAGGATCACGCATTCGACCGAATTGTGCCAATAATAAAAGCGAAGCATTTCTTAGAGAACTACGGGAACATTGAGCGTATCTATCTATCTATCTATCTATCTATCTATCTATCTATCTATCTATCTATCTATCTATCTATCTATCTATCTATCTATCTATCTATCTATCTATCTATCTATCTATCTATCTATCTATGACATTCAGCTCTCCTGTCTGTTTGGTTAATGGTACCGATACAAAACTTGGCATGGCATAACATGACTGTATGACGAGCATATTTGACTAGTCACAAATTGAAAATCATGATATCTATGTCATGAATGTCATGATTTGCAATTCATAGTCTTGCTGCACATGCGATCGTTTCGTTCACATGACACGTTGCGAAACTGTTATGGTATGACATGATTGCTTGGCGAACACAAGTGACAGACCCTAACAAGAAAATCATGACATGCATGTGATGTAACAACATGACTACATGCCACGCCATGATGAGCTCACGGCCATTTCGTTAGCGTCACAAATATGAAATTTGATTTTACGGTACGTGAATGTTCGGCATGGGTAAATGACACGTCCAAACACGATAATCACGAAATGCGTGTAATGTAACAACATGACTACATGCCACACTCATGATGCGATCGGAGCCGTTTTGCTAGCTTCACATATGCCAAGTTCGGTATTACGTGACGTCAATGGATGACGAAGGTATGTGACTAACGCAAACATCATAATCATGAGATGCGTGTCATGTGACAACATAACAACATGCCACAGTCAAGGCGCCAATACACTTCGGCGTGACACAGTGCATGTGCGCATGGGCATTCGTTTCGTCCCGTCACGCTGGCGTTGCCGCGCATGTCACCGGTCCTGCCAGATACTCGCAGGTGGGTGCCA